TCAGAGAAGTGAAGTGCAGGCAATTTACATAAATGCCAACTACGTGAAGGCCTGTGGCTACGATGCCCTGGGACGCGCCGAGGTTGCACCGATGGAAAGACTACCAGAGTACATCGCCACACAGGGTCCCCTCACGCACACGGAAGCCGACTTCCTCTTCATGGTGCATCAACAACGCTCTCCGATAGTCATCATGCTCTGCAAGTATGTCCAGTCTTCTTCCTATACTAGGATCTAACCTTTCTAACGGGTTTTGCCAAATGAAGTTCTCTACTTTTCTTCTTTTCCTCATACACATAACACACAGTGGACTGGTAAACAGCTGAAATATCTGTTCTACACCATCAAAAGCTCTGAGTTTACTACCAACTTTTCGCATTTGACAGTTATAGAACATGATGGATTAGAGCGGCGTTTTAGTTTCAATTTCTAAGTCGCCAAATGGATTTCAACGAGGCAACGAAGCCTGGCACCAACAATGAAATTTAATGATTAGTCATGAGGCGGGCAGGCTATCATCAAAGTGCCAAATAAAAGGGAACATGCGTGTCCCAGGAAGTAATTGAGAAGAAGACGATTCGATCGCTGGGACAATACTTTTATCCGCGAATAAAAGTAGTATCCCAGCGACCGAGTCGTTTCCTTCTTATCTTCAATGTCTCGACCGTCTTTAGTAGAAATGGGACCTTGCATATGTGATGTTCTGGTGGACGTTTCCTTTCGTTTTCTGTGTGTTTTCTGCAGAACATTTGGTTTGTACCATGGTGGAGAACCGGACTCAATGTGACTTGTGTTAAGGGTTTACGAACTACCCGGCCAACAAGTCTTCTGTCTTGCCCTGATTGGTGATTGTTATTATCGTTTTGAACATACATGCCTAGTGCGGGTCTGGGAAGTGAACCAACACATCGGTGGATGAATATTCCTCCTGACACCAAACGCTTCTCTTCAAGCCAGCATCTTCCTGCCTTATGAATTCTTCCGAGTTGTGGGAATAGGGAGGAGGGGTCGATAAGAGAAGGCTGGTTACGCGGCAGTGAGAATTTGTTTCAGTTCAGTAAACTTTGAAATTTTGTGATCGAGGGACCCAAAGTATCTGCTGATGCCTGGCTCTGTTCTTTCTTCCTGCCCCATGACGTCTTCCAATATTCGGTCTATCGAGTCCTCAGAAGGGGGTCATTTAGACTGTCAAAACTCCATTGGATTTCCCACTGGCGGTCAGATTGAACAAATATCAGGTTGACCAACGGTCCGAATACGCAGCATTTCACCAACTGCATGCCGCGTTATGATGCAGATGCTAAACACGTAGCTGGCTGTTCAACCAATTCATGCGATGTGTGCGAGTCACAGCAGTCACTGCTTATGTTTCTGTTTCTTGACTTCTCTAACTCTGTATCCAGCAGTTAC